TTCGGGCTAGACTAAATTTAGTCTTTCTGATTGTTATGGGTTTGCTGGGGTTTGGTAAAAAAGCCCGTTTCTGACAATCGTGTTTTTCGGCACTTTTTCCGGGTTGGGGATCGAAACCTTTGAACTTTTTTCTGGCGCGGCCGGGTCCCCCCTCGCGAAGTTTCAGGGGTGCGAGGTGGGTTGGGGCTCGGAGGCGGAGGGGTCCGAGTGCGAGCATCTCACCCGAAGGCTTTCTCTGCCTTAAGGGGGTCCATGTGGACTGCGCTCACAGGCGCCCCGAGCATCTCCCACGAAGGCTTGCTCTGCTTTAGGGGGGCTGGTCCTTAGGTCCTAAAGTTTTGCGTGTGCCCTGCGATTGTGCTCTGTTTGTTCGGGTTAAGTTAGGTTTAGAGCCCTGTGAGTGTAAAAGGATTGCCGGGTCTTGGTGGTTCTTGTGGTTTCACTGCTTTGAGGGGGCCGTTGCTTAAGCCTTAAAAGTTGTCGTCTGCTCCGCGATTGCTCTCTGTTGGTTCGGGCTAGACTAAATTGAGGCTTTGTTAGTGTTGAGGGATTGCCGGGGTTTGGGGGTGCTTGTGGTTTCACTGCTTTTAGTGGGCCGTTGCATAAGCCTTCAAGCTCGTCGTCTGCCCCGTTGTCTGCTCCGCGATTGCTCTCTGTTGGTTCGGGCTAGACTAGATTGAGGCTTTCTTATTGTTGAGGGAGTGCTGGGCTTTGGGGGCGCTTGTGGTTTTACTGCTTTGAGGGGGCCGTTCCTTATGCCTTCGAACTCGTCGTCGGCCCTACGAGTGCTCCCTGTTTGCTCGGGCTGCTCTTGGTTGAAGCTTTGGTAGTGTTTAGGGATTGCCGCGGTTTTGGTGTCTTTGTTGTTTGAAAGAAGGTCAAGGTTCTCGGGGGCGTTTCTGCCTAGGCTCGGGAGATTTTTCTTTCGTGGGAGGGTCCCCCCTTGTGTTCCTGAGGGGTCTAGATTGTCGGAAGATGGCAATCCTGGTTGGTGGGGGGGGGGGGTCACATTGCCAACAGGTGGCAATCACACCTGCGTTTTTGGTGCTTAGCTGCCACTTGCCAGGCCTGATGGATTGCCGGCAGGTGGCAATCTTAGGGGGTCTAGATTGTCAGAAGGCGGCAATCGTAGGGGGGGGGGGGGGTATAGATTGCCAACAGGTGGCAATCACATGAGATCTAGATTGTCAGCAGGTGGCAATCTTAAGGGGGGGGGGGTATAGATTGCCAACGGGTGGCAATCACCGGCGATCTAGATTGTCAGCAGGTGGCAATCTTAGGGTGGTACAGATTGCCAACAGGTGGGAACCTTAAGGAAGTACAGATTGCCAACAAGTAGCAATCACAGGGGATCTAGAGTGTCAGCAGGTGGTAATCTTAGGGGGGTACAGATTGCCAACAGGTGGCAATCTTAGGGGGGTACAGATTGCCAACAGGTGGTTCATCGGCGCAAAGTGCAAACCTTTGAAGCAATTTCTCTTTCCTATGGGGTCCGCACAAAGTGCAAAAGTTCGGCGCAAAGTGCAAAAGTGTTCATTACGTCTTCTCGTTTTGGTGTCTGCGCCAGCAGCTGCATCCCTTTCTTTTAAGGGGCTGGCGCTTAAGCCTTAAAACTCGTTGTCTGCACCGCGATTGTTCTCTGTTGGTTCGGGCTAGACTAAATTGAGGCTTTCTTATTGTTATGGGTTTGCTGGGGTTTGGTAAAAACGGCGGTTTTTGACAATCATGTTTTCCGGCACTTTTTTCGGGTTGGGTCGGGAAACCTTTCAAACTTTTCTGGCGCGGCCGGGTCCCCCCTCGCGAAGTTTCAGGGGTGCGAGGTGGGTTGGGGCTCGGAGGCGGAGGGGTCCGAGTGCGAGCATCTCACCCGAAGGCTTTCTCTGCCTTAAGGGGGTCCATGTGGACTGCGCTCACAGGCGCCCCGAGCATCTCCCACGAAGGCTTGCTCTGCTTTAGGGGGGCTGGTCCTTAGGTCCTAAAGTTTTGCGTCTGCCTCTCGATTGTTTTCTGTTTGTTCGGGTTAAGTTAGGTTTAGAGCCCTGTGAGTGTTAAGAGATTGCCGGGTCTTGGTGGTTCTTGTGGTTTCACTGCTTTAAGGGGGCCGTTGCTTAAGTCTTAAAAGTTGTCGTCTGCTCCGCGATTGTTCTCTGATGGTTCGGGCTAGGTTAAATTGAAGCTTTGTTAGTGTTGAGGGATTGCCGGTGTTTGGGGGTGCTTGTGGTTTCACTGCTTTTAGTGGGCCGTTGCATAAGCCTTCAAACTCGTCGTCTGCCCCGTTGTCTGCTCCGCGATTGCTCTCTGTTGGTTCGGGCTAGACTAAATTGAGGCTTTCTTATTGTTGAGGGTTTGCTGGGGGCGGGGCACCTTCCCACAGCCAGGGCCCGGGGCCGGGGCACCTCCCCACAGCCAGGGCCCAGGGCCCGGGGGCGGGGCACCTTCCCATCAACCCCAAAGCCCCAAGGCCGGACCACCTTCCCACAGCTAAGAGGCCGGGGCACCTTCCCACAGCCAGGGCCCGGGGCCGGGCACCTTGCCCAAAAGCACAAAAGCGGCGCAAAGCCCAAAAAGCGGTGCAAAGCCCAAAAGCGGCTTCGGGCGCCGCTATCGAGCCTCGTCAAAGCCCAAAAGCAGCCTAGGGCGCCGGTATCGAGCCTCGTCATGGCACGCCCTGGAAGTTGCAGAATTGCTGTGTGTCAGTCTTTGCCTCTGGGTTACTTCGTGTTATCGGTCTAAGCATTTTGAACGGTCGAGGTTTCATGAGTTTTGTGAGATATGCTTCCTTCACGAACCAGTGGCTGCGCAGCTGCTCTGATGAGTGCGTCTATGCTATGCCGTCGTGTACCATCCATGTTCCTTGCTGCGGGACTTTTCCTCGCGTGGCTGCCCCCTGTCCATTGCGAGGTCTGCCAGCACCACTATGCCTACATGCACGTTCCACACGTCCGGTCTCCGCCGATATCTTGACTTTGCAACTCCGCGATTCTTTGTCTTATCCACTAGCGGCTCCTTGTCAAATCTGACCTCTGAGGTAGGATTTCGGGCCAAGCAAGTGTAACCTACATAAATTTCACTTGCGGAGTCGCTTCTGTTTCGAGACTCTGCATTCCGGACAAAGCTTTGGCCGCGAGTCTCCTGGTGCACGAATTTCTTGGAATACCTTCTGGCATTGCTGGTTCTGGCACTTGTGCCATCCTTTAGGAGCCCTGGTGCCGTGAATTGCGCAGTTCAAGCAATGATTATTGCTGGCATTGCCTGCTGCAACCAGGGGAAAGGACTGCTTGCAACCTTGACATAGGAACCAGCCTCCTCGGAGGCGCTTCGCTTTCGGATGCACCTCCTCTTGGCAGTCTTTGCATGCCGCGCAGCCAGGTGGCAGGGTGCACATGGTGGACTCGAAAGCGTTGGCAGGCTTGGTCTTTCCGCAGATAGAGCATGTCAGGGTGCATTGATTGCGAGCACATTGTGTACACACCTTCTTGACATCCGGTCCTCCTTGCTGGCGCAGCTGCGCCACCGGGAATTTAGGGTTAAAGGTTTAGGGTTGGGTGTGTTGCTTGGGTCATTTCAATTTACTTAAACCGTTCAGTTGCACTTAGAAAAAACTTGTCAATTTACTTAAACTGCCCTATGGTCGACCGTTGCTTGCCTTAAATCCTGCGTACCTGCTGAACATAAAACCAGAAGCTGCGCTGGCGCACCTTCGGCGCAAGCCGTCTAAAATTTAGGGTTTAGGGTTTAGGGTTTAGGGTTTAGGGTTTAGGGTTTAGGGTTCGCCAGCGTAGTTGCTGGCGCCCTAACCAATTCCGCTTTTGAGCACTTTGAAGCATTTCCTTTCCTATGGGAACACCCCTAGCTTTTAAACGGAGCAATTCCGCTTTTGAGCACTTTGAAGCAATTTCTATTCCTATGGGAATTCCGCTTTTGAGCACTTTGAAGCTTGCTTGGGTCATTTCAATTTACTTAAACCGTTCAGTTGCACTTAGAAAAAACTTGTCAATTTACTTAAACTGCCCTATGGTCGACCGTTGCTTGCCTTAAATCCTGCGTACCTGCTGGGCATCAAACCAGAAGCTGCGCTGGCGCACCTTCGGCGCAAGCCGTCTAAAATTTAGGGTTTAGGGTGTGTCCATCGTGTTCGCTCGCTCGGGTGTAAAGCACCCCGAGCCGCTCGCTCCAGCGTAGCTAAGTTTTTCCCACCCTCGCCCCACCCAGACTCGACTCTTTTAGGGTTTAGGGTTTCTACCCCCCAACCCCCCTATCAAGGGGGGTTACCCACAAGCGACTGCCAAAGCCAGCAGCGAAGTACGTGGTGGGGGCGTGCGTGTCTAGTTCAGACATAGGATGCGATAATGTCGTGGTGATGAGTAGATAAGGTTGAATTCTTGAGCTTAGTGTAGTTAGTCGATAGCTGCGTGATAATGTCGTGGTGATCAGTACATAAGGTTGAATTCTTGAGCTTAGTGTAGTTACTCGAGATAGCTGCGTGCCACCGTAGCTATCCTGAAGCGACTTCGCGTGCAACAATTAATTTTGCTTTGTTAAGAATAAATTAAATATGGCTCGCAGTTGCAGGAGCCGTTTCGGTAAGGAGGCATTAACAAGATATGGTTGGCTCGGAGGTCGCGCCGAGTGAAGCTGATCATGCCATAGGATCCTTTGGGGGAATGCAGGTACCTGCAGTTATATAGCATGATTCGATTCGGAGCGCCGTCTTCCAGCCACCAAGCCTTCGTTGAAAGAGGGTTGTCGCACGCAGTGAAACGTCTCTTCGGAGCCCGTCGTAACGGTAGCGAAGCATTTTGCCATTGAAGCAGACGAGGTTTTTTGAATCGAAAGGACGAATGTGCGCTTGCACGAGGCGTAACGTGAATCATCGTAAGCAGGGACAGACAGGAGAATAGCCGACATGGACGTGCAGTCCATGCAAGGGCGTTTTTTTATCTGGGAGCGAGGGTTGTGGTCTGTAGCCGGCTTGTCATGCGAAGCAGCTCTGGCACGCTTCACATCGCAGGTGTGAAATGGTGCGGGCGGATTTTGCCAGCGATAAGATAGTCCTCGTCATGTCGCACCCGACTCAGCGCCACATACCCCGCAGCCCGGCAGCAGGGCCGGTCAAGCCAAAGCGTAATATGCTTCAGCGTTTGCCCTTGTACCTTTTGCACGGTCGAAGCGTACCCCAGGCGGAGCGGGAAGTAGTCCACGTCGTGAGTGCCAACGCGCTCACGAACAGCGCTCACGGCAAGCCGCTTGCCAGTGTCGGTGAGCACGGTTAGACAACCACTACGCTCGTGATAGTCGAGTACCTTGCAACCCATGCCATTCACAAAGTCTTGTCTCTTGTTCAAGTTCTTGGTAAGGAACACACGCATGTCCTTGTACACCCTGGTGGGCATGGATTTTGGCGGAGCATCAGAGCACAAAGTGCCATCTTGCGTGTAGTTGCCTGGGTCCATTTCCCAATCGAAGGGCAGCTCTCCTAGGGGCGTCTGGTGCCGGTGCCTGAACAGCACATCCACCGCAAGATCGTTCAGCGTCTGCGCGCCCTTCCTGGTGCACGTGACCATGGATGTTGCGTAGTCTGTCCTTCGAAACACCTCGAGGACGTCGTAAGCAGTGGGCTCGGCGTCGGTCCAAGCGCGATGGGCTCGGTTGGCAATCTGTTTCAAGAGACGCTTGCTAGGAACAGCGGTTCGCAGAGCTGCAAGCTTCTTGGCCAGGCGCGCATCTTCGCAGCGGTGCATAGTGTTGAACATTATCTGCTTGACACCGTTCCATGCCTGGCTGTCTGACACTTTGCTCGGCGGCTGCTGCGGCCCGGGCAGCTGCCAGAAATCACCAAGGAAAACCATGCAGGGCAAGCGATCCGCTGCACGCCACATAGTGTCCAGACGATCGAAGTGCTCGCTGGTGAGCATCGACAACTCGTCCACAATGACCAGGTCGTAAGAGCTGAGGATGGGCAAGGCTTCGGAGATTTCTTTATGGAACAAGAATGCACCGTGGCATGTGTCCACATCGATATCCGGATGCAGGCGTCGCATCTGAGCGGCTAGCTGTCCCGTGGGCAAAGCGAAAAGAATGCGGGCCCCTCGCGCATGCCACCGCCGAATGCAAGCATGAACGGCACTAGTCTTACCTGAGCCCGGCGGCCCGACAGCCGCCAATATGCGGTTAGTATTGTGCGCGTCCAGAGCGATGTCGTCCAGCGCGTCATCGTCCTCTGCCGCTCGAGCGTCCAAGGATCGCTGCACGCTGAGATCGATCAAGCGCTGCAGGCGACGCTGCGAAGCATCGAGCACCAACGGCACGTCGCCGTCTGCCGGTCGCGGAGCTTCTGCCGCTTCCGCTTCCACCTCCTCGATGGCATCCCGCACATCTTCTCGGACGAGATCTCCTTGGAGGTAGCGACCGACGAGATGAGTTTGGGCACGCACGAGGTTACACACCGTCTCGATGTGGTCGCTGCTGCATGCTTCCAGTTGCATGTCCGCGCGGAGTTGGTCCAAGTTGGTCCAATAATCGGCACGCCAGTGCAACGCGGTGGCGAAAAGCTGATATCTTTCCGGGACCTTCTCTTGGATTTCGGGCACGAAGAAGTCGTCTAACTGAGCAAACGGGCAGTGCAGTGCAAGCCACTGGCCGTAGTATCGGTCTCGCAGGCGGGAGACGCAAGCGGCGGCAACAGCTTTCTCCCCACGAGCGGGACAGCTGCGTGCGAATTCCTCGACAGAATCGGCGCCAGCTGGCTCCGTCGCCTTGTGCTTGCGACGCACCCACTGCAGGATGGCGCCGACAGAATTGCTTTTCCGCAGGAAGTCCAGCAAGGTCATGCTCTCCCCTCTCCAGCTGCAAGTTTCGTAGCGAACGACAAAGTCCGGCTTGTGCTCCATGCCGGGGTAGGGCGCGAAGATATCCACCAAAGCGCCGCCGAAAGAAAATTGAGGAAACATGGCACCAGCAAGGCTGAGCCACATTTCAGGTTCGAGTGGGTGGTGGTCAAAGAGAATGCGTCGCGCCACGCTATAGTCTGACGCTTCGTCGTTCAACCAATCACCAGCAAAGCTCCCACTGAACTTTTGCTGGTACGTCGCGACGTAGCGCATGAGTGCACCGTGCCCGTCTGCCTGCAGGACGTCTTCATGGCACTTGCTTACCTGCAAAGCTTCAGGAAAATATGCGCGGACATGGCGGGCATGGTCTTCCTCGGTGTGGTGTAAGAGCACCTTCTGCTCTGCGTCGTCCCACGCAGAGGGTTCTTCTCGGATGTCCACCTTGCTGTTATTTCTGTCTAGCTGCGAGTCTAGGACGATGCCCCGCGTGATCACGGCTTCCGCTTGTTGTGGCACCGAGGCACTCAGCTTCTCGTGCAGTCGCACCGCACCGACGTTCTCTAGATAGTCCAAGGAGTGAGAGTGAACCGCGCCGCGCCCGTGGTATCGCTGGGTGCCGGTCTTTCGCTTTCCATCTTGAAACTCCAAGCGAGAAACGAAATTAAGCACGGTGTTAACATCCGAACCGTCAGCTGCGGCGAGGAGATGGTCTTTCCACTGTCGATCTCGGCGACCGACAGTGCGCCGGTTCATGCCGCTGAAATACCCGCGGTCGAGCTCTTTGAGAACATGAGCCATGTGAAGTGTCTCCGGCCCTGCGAGCTCCAGTCGACCGCGTCCGGCCAGGGCCATCTCGTGGAGAACCCACATATGGTATGGAAAAGAGCGTTCATAGGGAGCTCGCGTCCGAAATAAGTGAGGCAGGCCAACCTGACGCTGAAGGTCCAGCAAGGCCAGATGCCGAGTACGCCAATATTCCGGCGACCACGACGCCTTCTTGACGGCCAGGCGCAAAGGGATACTGCTCGCCGAGTTCTTCGTTCCGCCCAGAGAGCTCCACATAACCAAATCATACACGAAATGCAAAAGCTCATAGTCCTCGGAGTATCCCACGATGGGTCCCAGAACTTTGTTCAGGAAACTGCGGCGTACACTGTGCCGGCCGGCAGCAGAGGCGAGCTCTCCGGCACTGTCTGCGGACGCAGAAGACGCGGAGTCTTCGTCCGAGGTGGTGCAGCCTGCGTCTTCCTCGCCGCTGGACATGCAGGCCCTCGGCCGGACCGGCCGCTGCCGGCGCACGTCTGTAAGGCGAACAACTGTTTCGCAGAGGGACGTATCCCAGTATAGGTGCGGCCACAGCGCGCACTCCAGGGCTCGTTCCTCCAGAAAGCGAAGCGGCCGCTTTCGCACCTGCTCCGCGGCGTCTTCGTGGGTAGTCAAGAAGCGGCGATGGCGTTCCACGAAGTCAGCGTAAGCCGAAGTCGACCGGCCCTGCTCCGATTCTGTCAGATAGCGAAATGCCCGCTTGGCCTGCTTCCGCTCCCGCGCGTGCGACAGCTGCGCGATCTTGGTTTCGACGTCTTTGGCGGCCCATGCAAACCGGACCATGGATGCATGGACGCGGTAACCGTGTGGAGCTCGCTCATAGCTGCCAGTGTCCACGTCCAGTGGCCGCAGGGCTAGCACCACGTCTGCAGAGAGTTCGCGCAAAGGTTCGGGCACATCACCTGGCTGCGGCACGCGCGCACCGCGCCGACACAGAGTGCAGGTCTTGACGGTGGGCTGGGCGACGCGCCGTAAATCTCCCGGTTGGAAAGGACGCGGGCGCACACTGTGGCATTGACGACATATGCGCCACGAACCAAGCTTGCACCATTGCTCCGCCATTTTTGCTCGCTCAGAGATATCGGGTGCCGGAAGACCAGAGTCATTGAAAGCGACGTACCCGGCCGTCCGTACGGACAGTTGGGTCCAGTGCCGTCCGTACGGGCAGTGGGGGCCGTCCGTACGGGCAAGGGTGGTCTCCTTCATTAAGGAGGCAAAGACAAGGGACCGCTGAGCCGGCCGTCCGAACGGACAGTGGGGTCCTCCTTCATTAACGCAAAAATAGGGGAGCGCCGTCCGTACAGGCAGTGGGGGCCGCCCGAACCGGCCGTCCGTACAGGCAGGGTCCTCCTTCATTAAGAAGGCAAAGATAAGGTATGGGCAAAGATAGGGGAGCGCCGTCCGTGCAGGCAGTGGGAACCGCCCGAACCGGCCGTCCGTACGGGAAGTGGTGGTCTCCTTCATTAAGCAGGCAAAGATAAGGGACCGCCGTCCGTACCCGGCTCTGGCGGCGGGGGTGCTCTGGTGGGGGCCGGCTGGTGCTCTGCTCTGGTGGGGTGCTCTGGTGACGAAGCGTACTGGAGCGTGCTCTGGTGGGGGGTGGCGGTGCTCTGGTGGGGGAGCTCGTCCTGCCCAGAATGGGGGGGGACCCCGACTTCGGCCCCGGGCCTCATTAAAAGTGCTATTTTACGAACAGAATTTATCACCCAAAATACCCACCCAAAATCTGCATTTACGGCTCCGGCTCTGGCGGCGGGGGTGCTCTGGTGGGGGCCGGCTGGAGCTCTGCTCTCGTGCTCTGGCGGCTCCGGCTCTGGCGGCGGGGGTGCTCTGGTGGGGGCCGGCTGGTGCTCTGCTCTGGTGGGGTGCGTACTGGAGCGTGCTCTGGTGGGGGGTGGCGGTGCTCTGGTGGGGGAGCTCGTCCTGCCCAGAATGGGGGGGGACCCCGACTTCGGCCCCGGGCCTCATTAAAAGTGCTATTTTACGAACAGAATTTATCACCCAAAATACCCACCCAAAATCTGCATTTACGGCTCCGGCTCTGGCGGCGGGGGTGCTCTGGTGGTGCTCTGCTCTGGTGGGGTGCTCTGGTGACGAAGCGTACTGGAGCGTGCTCTGGTGGGGGGTGGCGGTGCTCTGGTGGGGGAGCTCGTCCTGCCCAGAATGGAGGGGGACCTCGACTTCGGCCCCGGGCCTCATTAAAAGTGCTATTTTACGAACAGAAATACCCACCCAAAATCTGCATTTACGGCTCCGGCTCTGGCTCTGCTCTGGTGGGGTGCTCTGGTGACCTGGAGCGTGCTCTGGTGGGGGGTGGCGGTGCTCTGGTGGGGGAGCTCGTCCTGCCCAGAATGGGGGGGGACCCCGACTTCGGCCCCGGGCCTCATTAAAAGTGCTATTTTACGAACAGAATTTATCACCCAAAATACATACTCAAAATCTGGCTTTACGGCTCCGGCGGGTGCTCTGGTGGGGGCCGGCTGGTGCTCTGCTCTGGTGGGGGGGCTGGTGGGGACTCCGCTGTGGCAAAGGTGCTCTGGGGAGCCTTGGGGAGCGCTCTGGTGGGGCCTGAACCCTAAACCCAAGGGGCGGCCATCGCTGGGAAATGGTCTCGGCTTTCGGTTATTAGCTTTCTAATAGAGGTGTGCTGATCGGGCACACTAAGCTTGTGTACCTCACATGTGTGGTAAGGCAAGGCCTATTCGTTGGCGTCCGTTCCAGGCCCACACTGGAGGCTTAACCCTCCAGTGGCAGGATGCGATTGTTGAGCAGCCTGCTTGGCCGCTCGCAGCGGAGCTGCTCGGGCGATTGCCTGGCCTCGGCAATCGTCGCTCGGGCTCTGCTTCAAGCGCTCCAACGAGCCCTCGCTTAGGGTTTAGGGTTTAGGGGTTTAGGGTTTAGGGTTTAGGGTTTAGGGTTCGCCAGCGTAGTTGCTGGCGCCCTAACCAATTCCGCTTTTGAGCACTTTGAAGCATTTCCTTTCCTATGGGAACACCCCTAGCTTTTAAACGGAGCAATTCCGCTTTTGAGCACTTTGAAGCAATTTCTATTCCTATGGGAATTCCGCTTTTGAGCACTTTGAAGCTTGCTTGGGTCATTTCAATTTACTTAAACCGTTCAGTTGCACTTAGAAAAAACTTGTCAATTTACTTAAACTGCCCTATGGTCGACCGTTGCTTGCCTTAAATCCTGCGTACCTGCTGGGCATCAAACCAGAAGCTGCGCTGGCGCACCTTCGGCGCAAGCCGTCTAAAATTTAGGGTTTAGGGTGTGGCAGGCGAAGTCGCGCGCTCGGGTGTGAAGCACCCCGGGCCGCGCGCTCGCGTTGCTTGTAAACCCACCCCGGCCACCCAAACTATACTCTATTAGGGTTTAGGGTTTCTACCCCCCAACCCCCCTATCAAGGGGTGCTTTTATATTTTTGCACCCATGAACGTTCCAGTTGTTGAGGTTGTGGTTCGCCAGCGCAGTGCTGGCGCCCTAAGCAATTCCGCTTTTGAGCACTTTGAAGCATTTTCCTTTCCTTAGGGGTCGGCGCAAAGTGCAAAAGTGTTCATCGGCGCAAAGTGCAAACCTTTGAAGCAATTCCTCTTTCCTATGGGGTCCGCGCAAAGCGCAAAAGTTCGGCGCAAAGTGCAAAAGTGTTCATTACGTCTTCTCGTTTTGGTGTCTGCGCCAGCAGCTGCATCCCTTTCTTTTAAGGGGGCTGACGCTTAAACCGTAAAACTCGTTGTTTGCTCCGCGATTGCTCTCTGTTGGTTCGGGCTAGACTAAATTTAGTCTTTTTTAATGTTAAGGGTTTGCTGGGGTTTGGTAAAAAAAACCGTTTCTGACAATCGTGTTTCTCGGGTTTTTTTTCGGGTTGGGGATCGAAACCTTTGAACTTTTTCTGGCGCGGCCGGGTCCCCTCTCGCGAAGTTTCAGGGGTGCGAGGTGGGTTGGGGCTCGGAGGCGGAGGGGTCCGAGCGCGAGCATCTCACCCGAAGGCTTTCTCTGCCTTAAGGGGGTCCATGTTGACTGCGCTCACAGGCGCCCCGAGCATCTCCCACGAACGCTTGCTCTGCTTTAGGGGGGCTGGTCATTAGGTCCTAAAGTTTTGCGTCTGCCTCTCGAATGTTTTCTGTTTGTTCGGGTTAAGTTAGGTTTAGAGCACTGTGAGTGTTAAGAGATTGCCGGGTCTTGGTGGTTCTTGTGGTTTCACTGCTTTTAGTGGGCCGTTGCTTAAGCCTTAAAAGTTGTCGTCTGCTCCGCGATTGCTCTCTGTTGGTTCGGGCTAGACTAAATTGAGGCTTTGTTAGTGTTGAGGGATTGCCGGGGTTTGGGGGTGCTTGTGGTTTCACTGCTTTTAGTGGGCCGTTGCATAAGCCTTCAAGCTCGTCGTCTGCCCCGTTGTCTGCTCCTCGATTGCTCTCTGTTGGTTCGGGCTAGACTAAATTGAGGCTTTCTTATTGTTGAGGGTTTGCTGGGGTTTGTTGCCCGGGGCCGGGGCACCTTCCCACAGCCAGGGCCCGGGGCCGGGGCACCTTCCCACAGCCAGGGCCCGGGCCGGAGGGCCCGGGGCCGGGGCACCTTCCCCCACCGCTTTCCGCAGCCACAAGGCCGGGGCACCTTCCCGGGGCCGGGGCACCTTCCCACAGCCAGGGCCCGGGGAGGGGCCCCTTCCCGCAGCCAGGGCCGGGGCCAGAACACCTTCCCACAGCTTGGTAGTAGTAGTTGTAGTAGTAGTAGTAGTAGTACTAGTACGGAGGGCTTGCTGGGCTCTCGGTCAATTTACTTAAAGGTTTACGGTTGCTTGCCTTAAATCCTGCGTACCTGCTGGGCATCAAACCAGAACCTGCGCTGGCGCATCTTCGGCCTCTGGCCGTCTAAAATTTAAGCAACGGCTGGGAGTAGCCTCGGCCCTTTTCGGGCCTTCGGCATGGCAGGGCCGGCTCGGCCCTTCAAGCTTATCGTTTGACAGCTTTGGAAAATCTAGATTGTAGAGCTGGTTGTCTTCTTCCGAAAAGGACAAGCGCGACTAAATATTGAAATCCGGAAGCTTAAGAGCAGCCACACGAAAAGAAAGGAGGGGACCTCGAGATTCGCAACCGGCCTTGTCTAAAAGGCACATTTTATGAACAGAATTTGTCACTTGAAAATCACCAGCAAAAATCCAAATTTCGGAGGCTAAATCCTAAATCCTAAACCCTAAATCCTAAATCCTAAATCCTAAACCCTAAATCCTAAATCCTAA